TCGTACGAAATCCCTCGATTTCCGGGGAGATTACATTTAATTATTTATTCTATTTTTATTTGATTTGATTTTATTCCAGAAACCCAAACCGTTATCATTTCTAACAACTTCCTAGTTTAAAATTGCACCTTGAATAAATGCATAACATAATATCTTCTCCTTTATAGAAATAAAAATAAAATCTTAACCAAATAAGGCAAAAATGGAAAAATCTGAATCGTTACAACACATTTTCTTAAGTGCTAATGTGCCTGAAAATCCAAGTGACACCGGTGTTGGTGAGCAAGAAGTGACTCAACCAAGCGAACCTAGTGAAAAACAAAGGGCACCTCAACAACCCATACAATCAAAAAGAATCCAAAAGCCAAATTCAAAGTATGTTAATACAATTATTATAAAAGACAAAGTTAAAGGACGAGAGACGTATGAAGAAAAATCACAAAATATGGTCTTGCAACAGGCAATAGAGGAAGAAATTATAGTCTTGAAGCAAAATCAAGCTTGGGAACTAGTGTCAAGATCAGAAGATGTCACATCCATCTTTTGCAAGTGGATTTATAAAATAAAGTATACTCCAGATAGATCAATCGTGAGATACAAAATAAAGTCCGAAGAAGTCTCATTAGGATGTGACTCAACAGATCTTGCGATATGTCAAGTGCGATCGATTATGGTCTTTCGTACAAAAAAAAGTGAAGACTACAAGCTAGTTGGATACCGTGATTCTGACTCTGCAAGATATCACTGTTGGATAGGGTTTTTTTACAATAAAATTATTTAAATGTGATTAGTTTTTTTTAAATAAATAGAATACGATAATTAATATAATAAAATAGTTCAAGAAATGACAATAAACAATTATATAAAAAAACTTAGAACATGCAATAAATTTTAATAACAATTTTGAAAATAAATACGAAAGAGTTAGAAAATATAACACCGTGGTTTTATAGTGGTTAAATTTTAATAACAATTTTGAAAATAAATACGAAAGAGTTAGAAAATATAACACCGTGGTTTTATAGTGGTTCGATCAAACTTGACCTTCTCCACTTTCCAAGTGCCTTTTGGGAATTTGAATAACGACTCTTTCCTTGGATCAAAATCCAACCGCTACACCGCTCTTTTTACGAATTCAAGAGCTAATTCAGTCCTTTCCACAATTTAAGATCAAACCGGTACAAGTGTCTGAATTTTGTAGGAACACACCACAACTCTATAAAAGAGTAGATTTACATCATTTACAACTATTTTCTCACCGTACAATTTTATATCTCTCTTAAAGTTAAAAAAATTATGGAAACTATGTGAAGTGTAAACTGGAGAAGATATGAGTTTAAAGAATTAATATGGACCACCAAAAAAGAACTTAAACTTGAACCTTTGAAATAATTTTTTTAAAAAAATTTATTGTTAAAAGAAAAATGAAAGGTTGACTTTTCATATTTATGACTGAAGGAGAAGTGAAATATCATTTAAATTATCTTTATCTTTGTTGTTAATAAGAGAAATAAAAGGTAAACTCGGTATTCTTATTTTTATTGAAAGAAAAAATAAAGGGTATACAAGTTGTTTTATATTTTATTTATTATTTATATTATTTTTTTAAGTAAATATTAACATAAATTAATTGATTTTTATTTATTTATATATATATAATAAAAAAATAAAAAAATATTAATAAGAATAACTGAGTAACTATTTGTTTTTATAATTCAAATCTATGTATGAATAATTTTATTTCTATTTACGAGTAATTGAAAACTCCACCACTATTACTTTTCCAAAGTTCTATATTTCATATTTTGATGAGTTCATGATATCAATTTTGCTTTCAATCATTACGTCGGGTATCTTGTTTCAACTTAAACTTCTTCGTTTTAGCTCTGATTTGAGTGATTAAAAAAAATGTTAAAATCGTTATTCCTAACCTTACACTGTCGACAATTCAAAATACTAATACTTGTTAATAATTGAGTGTAGGTTTGATATCATCAAAAATATCAATTAATTAATTAATTAAAATTAATTAATTTGAGATTAAGGGCCAAAAAGCCAACAATCACGATACCCAAAAGTCAAGCACCAAGTATGTGTTCAAGCTCAGTTCTAGAAAAAAATTTGGTGCAGCAAAAGACAACCAACAGTATCATTGTCAGCTAGAGAAGCAGAATACAAAGCAGCGACGGGAGCAGCTCATAGCTACTCTTGATGAAAGATTGGCACTAGGAAATTGATTATCCAATACCAATTTATTGCGACAAACCATCTACAATTCGTCTAGCAGAAAATTTGATGTTTCATGCTAGATCAAAGCATGTGGAGGTGCACTATCATTTCATTAGAGAGAGTCTTGAAGGAAGAAATCGAGATTCAACAAATCAAGACAAACGTGCAAGTGGCAGACTTATTTACAAAAGGGTTGAATACTGGCAAACATGAGAACTTTCGCTGTTAGCTCAACATGATGCCGCGAATGAAAACTAGTGCTGAAGAAGAGTGTTAAAATATCATCACTAGCCCAATGAGGTTGAGTTCAATAATTGGATGAGCTCATTTTCTATGTATTTTAGGAAAATGATTGAGGTATCTTAGGAATAAAAATACCCAGATGTTTTAGGGAAAAAATCAAAGTATTTTAGGAATAAATGGTAGCTATTTTAGGAATAAATTGTTTAGCTTCAACTACAAATGCCCCTCCAACCTACCAATGTTTTCACCCAAGAAATACAAAGGACAAAGAGAGTGTTTTGTAATCTCTTCTCGATTGGTGTTAATAAAGAGTGCAGTATTTCCCACAAAGAATTGTGTTCAACAAGATCTACATGAACCAACCAAATGGACTTGAAAATGGAGTTGGAGTCATTAGTCAGTACATGCAAAGTGCAAAGAAACCTCATTTGGATAAGGCTCGACGAATTTTCAGATATGTCAAAGGTACAATCAATTATAATCATTTGTACAAAAGGAGCGTAGATTGCAAGCTAGCTAGATACCGTGATACTAACTATGTAGGATATCACGATACTCGAAGATAAAACACCAGGTATGTGTTTAAGCTCGATTTGAAAATAATTTTTTGGTGTAGCAAAAGACAACCAACAATATCCTTGTCAACTAGAGAAGCAAAGTACAAAGCAACAGCTAGAGCTAATTAGGAAAGTACATGGCTGAAACTCTTGATAGAAGATTGATACTAGAAAATTGATTATCCAATACAACTTCATTACGACAACCAATATGCGATTCGCCAAGGAGAAAATCTGGTGTTTCATGCTAGAACAAAGCATGTGAAGGTGCACTATCATTTCATTAGAAACACAAGACGGAAGACCAAGTGGTAGACTTACTTACAAAAGGACTAACATGAGAGCATTATCTGTCAGCTCAACATGGTGGAGTGAATGAGGGCTAGTGGTGAGAGAGAGAGTTAAAATATTTTCACTCGTTCAATATGGTCAAGCTCAATAATGATATGAAACCATTGTATATTTATTTTGTAGAAAATGATTAAGTATTTTAGAATAAAGATACTTACATATTTTAAGAAAAAACATATAGATAATTTAGGAAAAATTTAGATAATTTACAAATAGTGCAATCGTTTCTACAAAGCGTCTTATTAATAAAAAATGTGAGTGTTTCCCACCAACAGTTGTGTTCAGCATAATAGCCTCAAGTGATGACTTTCCTTTTCGTGGAGCCGAAAATGTTTATAGTGAAGGGTTGATAGAGTGAATTTTGCAAAAAAGAAAGACGGACTCCTGAATTCTATTGTAGAGGGACTTTACGTCAAAATATTTGATAAGCGGTTGGTCGGGTATTTTAGTTCAATAGAAAAATCGGTTTCCCCACCTCTTCCTATCCCTTGTAGGTTTCTTTCTAGTAATAATAAGAGATCTATCCCAATCGTAAAAATCTCATCTTATGAACTTACTGCAGACTTGGAGTTACACTCTTATCCATTGTTGGAAGTCGAGTTCATTGATATAATCATTGCAAGCAAGTTCTCAATTGTTCGTAATTATGACTAGGTCAAAAACTCGTCTTATCCATGTAATTATACCTATCACTTCAATACCACTAATTCTCTAATGAACAATTTGTTTATGATACAATCATAAACTAAGTTCCTTTAAGGTCCGTGAGAAGGCGGATCCTCATTGTTCATGTCTCGAAATCAAAATTTAAGAAAATTACTTATCCATATTTTTCTATACACGAACGAGTGAATTCCATATCGTGAAAACTATGTTCCTAGCTCCCTATTCGCGAAAGTCTCCATAATGGTAGGACTATTAAATCAGTTATAAAAGTCATTCTCAGTCTCACAAGTTCATAAATCACTAAGGATCAATATCAAGTCACACATCATCAATATTATACAAACTTGTCGTATAGAATACCTTCATTCACGTGTTTCCATAGGAACGATTTTGATCAAATCATTTACAACAATCATAAAATGGGTCGTATCAATAAAGTTATTCGGACAAGACAGCAAACCTTATCTAAATACTATAAATTGTTTAGGTTCTTACTTGAACATAGTTCTCTTATATGCCAACTAGAGATGTCCATTTAACTCGCAAGGTTTAGACGGGAAATGAGAAGCATTTATTCCCACTAGATAAATAGGGCCGGAAATGAGATTATATTTTCCATCTCTATCTAATTCTCTGTCCCTCCCCACTTAATATAAATAAATTTTTAACACGCGTGAATGCAAGTAACCACGTACATAAAATATTTTTTAAAATATAAGGGTCGGTGTGCCGTGATTTTAGAAAAAAAAATATATATATAAATCGGATTCTAAAAAATATATTTTTCTATTTTAATTATTTTTATTACACATAATGTTTCATCAATATTACACAAATCAACATTTTTGGTCTATAACTATATCATATTTTGCATATAGAATGTGTGTGTACATAAAAATAGTTATAATATAAAGTTGAATCGTATGTATATATGGTAAGTGTACAAAATTCATTAATTTTGATTCGGATTATCACGCTGCCACTGAAGCTTCTTCAACCTTCAACTGTCCGAATATCGGTCTCCAACAAAAGGTCACAGGGCCGGGTTCGAAGGAAGAAGGCGATGACTGTAGCAGCAGGGATCGGCTACACCTTGATAGCGTTGGGCCCTTCTCTCGCCCTTTTCATCTCCGTCATTGGTCACAAGCCTTTCTTGATTCTCACTCTCCTCTCCAGGTACTTCTCCGTTTCCAATTTGATTTCTGCTTTCATTCCGCCTCAATAATCTTCAATAATGGCCTTCTCTCGGTCTTCATGCTATTGTTTTGCTTGATCATTTTCTTTTGTTCTATTCTGATCGCGCCTTTTCTAGTTCATTTTCCCCTTCGCTTTCTTAGCTATCAATTAGGATCGCAGGTAAGCTGTGTGAGTTGTGTAATCGGCAGAGGAAATGAAGGCTGTTGCAGATTGTATTTTAATTTTTTGTTATTGTTTATAGATTTTCTTTCGCTAGTAAGCTTCACGTATTTTGTTCGAGCTTTTTAGGTTGGATAGGTTGCCAATTTAACCACTCGACTTCTGGATTTTTAAAACTTTTAAGTTTAGTTCTATGCGACACAGTCTATTAACAGATGTGATAAGTTGGTTTGGAAAAGAGATGTAGCAATTGTCACTTTATTTTGTCGAATTTCCAGTTTATATCTATAATTTGTTCCCAACTTTGTGTTGAATCGACTAATTTTTGTCCAATACACAGTTTATGCCCTCGTCTAGTCAACTGTGTTGTTAATAGCAGTGAATAAGTAGAATTACAATTCAAAGTTTAGAATGAAATTGAAACTTGTTAAAGTTTGAATTATATAGGCACAAATATCAAAATTTAGCTATTAAATTCTTAATTTAACCTCTAGATTCTCTGTTGAAGTTGCTAAGCGGTATCTGGGCGGGGGGGGGGGGGG